CGCGTCACGCAAAAGCTTGGAAATTCAAGCCTAGTGCATCACAAAACCAAGAACCCATTCGGAGCGAAAATTTTTCTGAATATTAGTTTTCAGCTGCTCTTAGACATCATTTAAGTAAAATCTCAGGAAGATCAATAGTTTTGTAGTTCGAATTTTAGTGACGTCATGTGAAAACCAGCTATACATGGCTAAACAGGAACAGTAACAAGATTAACCCAATCCACATCTACAGATTGAATGGTCGTAAGGGGGAGCTGTGTTTGTTGATTTGGTGTGTCGTGGAGAAGGGACTGGCGTTTAGAATGTTCACAGCCCTCTATTTTCTCGTATTTTTGTTTCGTCGTTTGAACGCGCGGATAAAATCGCGAACTGGACGCCAGCAAAAACGGAGGACTTCACAGGGTAGGGGGTCATAAACACCACCCCCATCCCCGCGTGCTTCGCGTTCGCTTCGGTCGCTTTTTCTTTCGTGTGCGTAAATAGAGTAGTCTCTGCCCAATAAATTAAAAAAAAAAGTGTTTGACAAAATAAGGTGCTTAAAATAAACAGGTTAGTCTACACTCCGGCTGTTTTGGTGCACATTGATTTCATGTGAGTTTCATTAAAAAAAAAAAAAAAAAAAAAAAANCTCCAAGTGGCATGCCTGTGAACTAGCTAGGCATAGCTAAGCATATTGACCACCACAAACAAACATTTATTTATAATCAATTAATACTAGGCAGATGAAAACAAAATTGAAAAAAAAAAAAAAAAAAACAGGCGAAGAGGCAGAGGGACGACTTCAGATGCAACTTAGAGCGAACTTCAATTTTTCAGTCCAGCAAATTTATTAACTTTCCGTAGGAGGAAGGTAAATTCCTAAAGATAAACATAAAACGAATTATTACAAATAACTAACCGAAGGCGGCAGAAAACTAAGAGGAAAATTCAAAACAGACGATATACTAAACGACTTACCAAATGCTGGAAACGGGATTCAGGGAACCAAAAGTTACGAGGGTAACGGACGATAAACCAGCACTAAATGAGCATGAAAGGATAACACAAATATATACGCAACGAAATTTACATATGAAGCGAGGAAAAAAAGCATGCGGAATGTGAGAAAATACATTAACATACAGAACAAAAAAAACACAAAGAAAAAACGAAATAGCCGCAACAGCAGCTTAGAGTAACACAGCTCCCCTCCCCCGGATGGGAGGCTAGTCAATCGCAATTTACTGAATGTATGCATTGAATTATTGACATTTGTCAACTGCTGTTTATGATCCTACTGTTGTTTCTAGTCAGCTTCATTTGAGCATGAGATTGGATCAGTGGTGTTTACAGAGTATGTTGTACCAACATGCAGCTATCGAATGGGAACTGACAAGATAGGTGCTGCTGTGGCCGTGATAGGTAAGTCGTGAGCAAAGATAAACCACGCATTAGTAAACCACGACGACGACGGCAACGAGAACGTTACCAAACAAAAGGTTTAATGAGCAGCACAATAGCTGTGCACGAGCATCATAAATCTTTGTACATTTCTTTGCCGCTGTCTGCAAAACGACAACGTGAAATGATCAAGTTCTGTGTAGTCTGAAGAACGCGAAGGATGGCGGTTAATTTTTGGTACTTCCATTTGGAATGGAATGCCATATTTAGCCTGAGCACAGCTTTAGAGGCATTTGCGCACTGGACAGATCTGGACAATTGCGAATTTTGCTGGTAAAATATACATTCATGTTTGACGTCGTCTTTGTTTAAGCTCCCTAATCGCACTACAGTCAGTTGTCTTCTCGACAATGGGTATTTTCGGCTGTTGATATTCTCAATCTAGGACATTATCACTACTATAGCATTAAAGGGAGACTGTCACGGTGATATCAAGGAGAGAATCAATTTATTATCTGTTTGTAAAAGTTTGAGTTTGTTGGAGTTTTACCCTGCGTAAAAGGCGGTAAATGGGGGAGGGGAGAGTGCGTTTTTCACCTCCCCTCCCCCTTCCCTGTTTACACCTACAACGCAGGCTAGGGTGGGTTTAGACTACGAGTAGTCCCTCTTTCGCTTTGTCCGTCGTGCGTGACGCGAAAGAAAACCGCGCGAAAAAATGGCCGCGCCAAATCCCGGAGGCGAGGAGCGCTCCTCGCCTTCAAGATTTCGCGCGGCCATGTTTTTCTCGCGGTTTTCTTTCGCGTCACGCACGACGGACTAAGCGAAAGAGGGACTACTCGTAGTCTAGGGAGGGTTGGGGTGGGGGCAATCCTTAGTGATTTCATCACCTGGGGCCCAAAACACTGTTTTTTGTGTGACACGGGGAACATTGGACAAAACACTGCTATTTAAGTGACCTATTTTATAACACGTCTCCGTTTTATCAGTCTTCTAAAATAATTTTTAATCTGCAAAAAGAGAGGCTGCCGTTTTATGCTAATGGTTTATTCATAGTTGATTTCGCTGATTTCTTCTGTCTCCTGTTATTTTTTCATAGATGTTGATGGTTCCATTGATTTTTCCGTCCTGCCACTTCCTACAAGATACCCATTTTTCTACGCGTATTTGGTAGTTCTGTGCGTCTGCGTGACATTGGCACTTCTGATATTATTTATTTTAAGGCCGTGTTTTAATGGGATATTTAATCGACGTCGAATTCAATTTATAAGCGTTGGTAGAAATGCGACTTTTCAGTGTTGTTAGGAAATACAAGGAAATTTAATTGAATGAGTGGACAAATACAGAGTTCAGAGCAAGGATTTTAATTCTGGGATAAACACTCACTTGCGGCTTGTGTTGCACTCTACAGTTCTTTCGTGCCCTTTCGTGCAGAATACTCCACAGCAAGCCTTTTTTTATTGGTCAGTTAAGACCAATTTCTCAGGGATTTTAATAAAACAGTTTAAAAGACTGTTAATCATTTCTTTAACACAATTGTGCAGTCTGAGTCCTTTTGTCATGGATCTCGAGGACAATTCAGCTATTTTTCAGTCTACATTTCGGGATTTTGTCTTAAATTTATTAGTACCAGGACTTCGTGTTGTCCAAGTTGATTTCTGTAATCATTAGCCCGCAGAACAGGCGGATTAGCAGCAGTGCGCAAAGCGCGGTACCGCTTTGCGATTTGCCGTCAATCCGCCTGCTCGGTAGGCTGATAATCATACTCGGATATAAAAAAAGAAAAGAAAAGAAAAAAAAACCTACTGAAATGGACTCCGTTCAACCCGATTCAACCTGCTTTCATTTTGTTTTAACAATCCCATTGGTAAAACTCCGTCGTAAGATCCTGATTGCTAGGACGAGAACGGCAAACGTCAACTTCTCCTTCTCTACTGTGTTTTTGGTCAGTCAAACACTTTGACTTTATCTGAAACTTTGCATCTACGTTACGTAACAATCTTTCGATTCAAGCCGAGATTCTCACAGTGCTGTCTAGTATAGAAGTTTTCTCCACAGAATACACCTTTGGGCCCTGTTTACAAGCAGTATAACCTGTAAAATTTTGCTTGTAGACTCGGGCTATCTTTGACCCACCTGCTAGGGTAACCCTAGCACTAGGTTTACCCTACCTGCTTGTAAACAGGGCCTTAATTGAAGAGATAACCGTCACCTACATTTGTATACACTGTATATGAGGCGAAGAGAATGCGAATGCCACCACTGATTGTCAATTAAAAGTTTCATCTCTGTCGGATCGCTGTGTTGCCGAAAAACATTAACGCTAGGAATAGATATGTTTAAATTGTTCATGTGTCACGTGTCTGCTTCGCAGCTAACCTGTGAACAGGCCCTCTAGTCGAGGATGGGGCGAAGAGTGAGTGTGAAGAAAGGACCCAACCCCCACCCCATTCCACGCTCGGCCACTTCACTCTCAGCCAGTTTCTTCTCCACCTGTCCAGCCGCGGTCAAACCCTTCCAGCCGGATATATAATATTAGTATCACCCAACTAGTGGACTAATGCAAATCCCGCATTTTGATTGGCTACGCTACTAGAGGACTATTAGTAATAGTCCTCGAGTAGCGAAATTGGCGCAATCGAGCGTGACGCTTTCTTTCGTTTTATTCCCAAATAAACAGTTCTTTAACTTGCATTTGCTAACTTTATTATTACCTTTTCTGTCCGACTAGTTGGGTGATACTAAAACAATTAGACCCTTCGCCCTCAAGGGCCACGGGTCAATAGCCCATTCGGCTTCTCCTCATGGGCTATTGACCCGTAGCCCTTGCGGGCTACGGGTCTAATTGTTAATTAGTTTTAACTAAATGTTATAAAGGTGGTTAAAAAGGCTAAAACTGAATTACAATTTACACCGTAAAAGCAAACGGATTTTTAGCCCTTGTAAGCTCTAAGCGACTCAAAATTTCATCCAGAATAGTAATTTTGTAACCCTAACCCTAGCCCAAAGTCACCAAATGTTTTCTCTGAATGGAAGTTCCCTGTTTAGCCGTTTGTAAAAAAGTGAGAATATTTTTACCTACCGTGAATAGGAGAGATTTTTCCTTTTTTCAGTCATGGTAAGTTTTCTTGAATGTATTTTGTATGATTGATTTAGGGTTCAGAGGAAAAGAAAACAGCTTTGTCTTAAACGTATAGTAATTATTCAAAATCACCAATGACCTGGATATGTGGCATGTGACTTCACCTATGTCAAAGAAAGTTAGAGATCCCGGAATTCTTAAAGGTGTAAAACACAAGCCGAGTATCAGGTCGAACAATAAATGAAAACCCAATTAGGCACCACGCGTCATTTCTCAACCAAACAATTCAGATTTTGACCAGTACTCAGCCCAATAACTTTGAATAAAAGCTTCGTTTTTTTTGCATTTCGTTGCGGACTCGAATTTCTATAAGTGGGTGGTTGCCATGGTGACTGAAACACGCACTTCCTGTTTAAGTCTTGGAAAAAAACCGTAGTTAATTCTAGATTTTCTCGATTTCTATTCGATTTTCGGGATGCGTTTGTTTATATACATCGCAAAAAAGTCTCATTCTTATGAAATTCAAACAGCAGAGTGGTGTTACAGCATTTTTGAGTTTATCTCATTTTTTGCCGTTTTTCATAACGTCTTTTAATTAAAATTTTTGTAAAAATTATATTACTTTTCATGAAGTCAGCCTATCTTTTTGCTGGAAAGTACATCTTGTGCACTTTCAAATGTGATATCGTAAACTGCATTGCTGTGAATACTTGTCAAGATATTGAATAAAGCTAAAAGAATGCATGATGTGTTAAACTTGACGTTTTGACTCAGTACAGCATTTGTATACGGTCAGCGTGTTTATTCAGCAAGAGGCCTAGCTAAGTGAAATGTGTCGGAACTGCATGCATGCGTAACACTGGTTTGTTTGTGGCTTGTCTATGGTTTCACGAAACGATCTCTAGTCTTGCCTAATCCGATCATATACGTTTTGCCTCAATTCTGCTTTGTTATAGTTTTTTTACGCCTCATCACGTCCATGCATGCATGATATATATAATAGGCAGCAAGGATTGAGTAATGAAGCTTTTATTTCTTTTGCTCAATACTCAGCTTGACTTTTCACTCAATTGTCAAATTACATTTCTTCATCGTCATAATTTTGATCTTGGGGCTCAGTCTCCGGAATATGCCCTCTCTCTGAAATGATGTCAGCAGTGGCTTGGGCAGACTGATGGTTTCTCAATGCCCCCCTCAATCCTACACCGGCGCGACGACGACGCCAAGCTTCACTGCAAGTGAAATGCAAATAAGATAAAATAAATAATTGAACGTCGACATCTGAAGCTTGCCTTTCCGACATAGCATCAACCATCTTGGATTAGGTCAGAGATCTCAGAAAAGACACGCATAAGCACAGACACAGACACAGTTTTCTACTCTCTTAGTACGCGTTCTCATCCAAGCTTGTACGGCCCACGACGCACGACGTGAGAGGTTTACGAATAATGGGGAAGGGGGGGGGGGGG